ATTTGGAAGAAATTGAAGGGGTACCCCTTGGAAAAATCTCGGAAAAATCGAAAATTGTTTTTTGTTGTTTATTATTAGCAATGTTCTTCCGACATCTGATTCCTTTTTAAAAAATGCGTTTCTAAAGTGCATAAACTTTTGGGATTGATTGTATAGCCAATACATCCTTAAAAAACAATGATAAAGTTTTATGCTAATCTTTCTTACGTACATTAGCCTCGTTTGACTGAACTAGCGTTATGGATCAGATTATTGAGAACGTATAATTTCATTTAACTAGTTACTAGTAAATTCTAATCACAGGTGATTTATCGATGTTTCGTAGATGGTTGGACCAATATAAAATAAAACTGATTACAATAATGGTAAGCAATTAATGCCTTCTATCTGTTTCTGTACGAATAGTTTGCATCAGATACTTTAACGTAGAACATGATTATTTATTATTTTCGTCGTCTGATTTCGTTCGAGTATGTGCCGATTAACTAATTGTGCACGTAATTTATATTCCTTTAACTTGCAGATAGACCTTACTAAAGTTCATGTGTTTGTGCGTAAAATAATAATTTCGTTCATTTTTATGCACGATATAGTATACATATATACACAGAACATAAAAATATTTCAACATTGTAAAAATGGGCGGAAAGTAGAACACATAATACATGATTATAAAAAATAGCACGTTTCATTAACAGTGTTTAGAGGATTCAAAGAATATCCTGAATTTTCGGGACGAAATGTTTTTCTTTTCTTATCTTATCGCCTCTTTTGATTCATTACGTGTCTAAAGACGAGTCATTCGGACATCGTAGTTCTCAATTTACGTTAACTTTAATTGTATTTTATCACTGTATTGTTTCTTCACCATGCAAATTGGGGGCGATACTCTTTCGTGGAAGAAGAGCATAAATTTTAACATATTTCTACTAGCATGCGTTACTATTTCAAGTAAAACTAATCTGTACAATCGTGTAAACGTTAGTAGAAGTTATTGTACCTGCTACGAGAAGAATATGATTTTTAAATCGATGATTGAAGAAGAGACGCTACGAGCTAAAATCTTGTTTTATGCGATGATACGTAAACGCGTATTAATGTAAAACGATTAAATGTTAGCACGCGCAATCCAGCACATGTTACGGGCAGGGTAATTTTCTTACTTCGAAATTGGCTCATAATATTTGAAGACTTGCAACTGTGTTTTATGCAATCACATACTGCAGCTTATTTAAAATTGACTATAGATTCGAATCTCTTCTCTGTCTCATTTATATTATCTTGTTATGTCTTCGGCTTTTTCAAGGTAATACTCTTTTCATATTGGCACCTCTTGTATTTCTAATTTTTCTGCTAACATACTGATAGTATTTATAAGTTTTTAAGGCGCTGTTTAATTTTTGTATAAAGATTATATTTCTGCTATCACTCTACTACGAGTAATAGTTTGTAAAATTAGATTACGTAGAATTAAACGCAGTATTCGATGGAAGGAATTGATATTCACATTTTCTTAAAGTATATTAGCAGTAAATTGCATAGAGTTTAACTTTCCATACCTCTGCCTCTATTTGACTTATGACAATAAAAGTTCGTAGTAATGTTAATAGCGATCGAATTAATTCACGATAAACAAATCGTTTCAAATAATACTTCAGAGATTTATGTCTCAAATCTTAAGCATAAATTAGTAAAAATCTTCTTAGTTTTATCAAAATTCGTTCACTATTTACAGAACCACCTGCACATAAATTAAAAAGGAGTAAACTCGAAGGTGTGAAAAGTTATTGTTCAGTGATTAAATCTTTAGATGAAAAATATATATGCAAACAGATAGAAAATACCTATTTTAAATAGCATATATCTCTTTCATTAATCAATAATATATATATCTATATTATTGTCAAAGTATAAAATTATTCTCTAGTGATGTGACGTACCATTAAAATGTAAGAAGAATGGTAATTACAATGCTTTAGAAGCTTGTATTAATTTCATCTGCTGAATTCAGGAAGCGGCTTGGCTATTCCTTCGCTGTACGCTTTGTGGACTGCCTCGCACACGAATCTGTATTGACTCTGTGAAACAAATATATTTTGCTTTTAACAGACATTTGTACGAACCTGCAATCGATAAATTTTCTCCTGGATCAAATTCTAACTTACAGCATTTTGTATCATCATCGCTCTTTGATCTCTCATAGATCGTACGATGTCTAATGGGTATACTGGTTGATTCGCTTCGATAAGACAGAGCGCCGTTTCCATTAGCACTAAAACACCAGTTCTACCGATACCGGCAGAACAATGTACCACAGCAGGTTCTACTATTCCCGTTCTAGCTGCCCGCACCCTCTCAGTGAACGTCGTGAATTGTCGCCAATCGCTGGGTACTCCGTGATCCGGCCAACTGCAGTACTGCATGTGCGTTATGTCTCTTTCTTCGCCGGTCTGTAACATACAGAATTTATAAGATAAATTCGACAAGGATGGATGAATAAATAATGATCGTTGTCTTTCGCTTACGTTAATGTCACGGAGTATGAATTCCCGAAATATAAAAGTCTCTTCGACATTCTCAGCCGTGGACGTTAAAGTGAGATTTCTTAACGTCAACGTTTCGTTGAGCGCAGGCCAGTACTGATGGCATTTCGCTCGGCCACGTTCGACCAACGTCGTAAGCATCACGACAAGAGTACTGCCCGCCTCAAGAACCATCTGCCAGAAATCGGCGACAGTCGACGACAAGGGGCCCTGAGTAGCAATGTATCTGTTAATGATACCCGATCCCGGTATCTCCATGTTCACGTAGTTCGCGTTAATATAATCTCCGCTTGCGGATCCCATCAGTATCACTCGGGTGACATCATCTACAACAATGCACGATTATGCGATCTTAAAAATCAAAGAGAATTCTCGTCTTGAACATTTCTATGTGCTTACACGGTGAAATATCGCGATAACGATTTTTGCTCTGATTCTCGGGCTTTTTCGACTCCAAAGAAGTTAGCTCAGGATTTTTTCTGTACAATTGTTCATATTGTGCAATCAAAGCACCGCTCGCGAGACCATCGGCTAGAAGTAACATCGATTGCGCCAACGCGTCCGATCCAATAGCCGCATGAGGTGCATCTGGAACGTACCTTAATATCCAAACAAAGAATGGATATAAAGTTTGTTTACTCATTTTTTATGCTGAACATTCATAAGTAAATGCTCTACCTATAAGGGGGTTCTTCTTCGGATGTTTCATCCGTACCAGCCAGTGCATTGTATAAAGCATTCGGTCTGACAGTTAGTGTTAGCTCGCCAGAACCCGAATCACGAGATTGACGAATTAGATTTACTACGTGTTCGTGTAACAAACCGCTGACATCAATCCCGTTTATATATACCACCTATTCGGTCGATACAATAAGTAAATTGAAAAAATTAGTCTAGATAGCTTCAAAGTAAAGTTCAATCTAGCTTCGTTAAAACATAACGACGAACCTGATCTCCTTCGTTTAATTTCGGATAACAACGATCGGCAGGCGTGTTTGGAGCCACCCTTGATACTAAAATAGGCATATCTAAATCTAAGCCACCTTTCACATTAAAACCAAATCGGCCTTGATCATCTGGCATCAGAGTTATCGCAACTAGTCCGTCCTCCACTATCTGCAATTTTCATATTACGTTGTTTCATGTGAGAAACATTTAGAGGGCAGAAAACGGTAAAAATAATTACTTGAGGTGCAGGTGAACTTGTAGGCTCGCTATAATCGGGAAGGTCGTAGATATTCCTTTCAGCAGTCGTGTCATCATCGGCGTAACTTAACACTCTAGAACCTAATACGGGGGAAAATGCGTTGCCTTGTGTGTGCGAGCTTATTTCCTCGCGAAGAGACAAGAAACCACCTTCGCTGTAGAACATAATATGAATAAATAGAAGTATTATGATTGCAATAACTTAGAAGTATTTAATCGGTTTTAACTCACTCGTCGCTAAGATTTCCTTCACCCCATGCTTGACGTGGTTCACGTGCACCAAGAGACTGCACTTTGTTATCGTATGACCGAGGAGCTCTACCGGGTGGTATAGATATTTTTCCTTTTTCCTCGATAATTGGAGCCGACGTTACTCCGTGTACTAACCTTTTACTAGGAGATCTGAATATAATTAGTATGTTATAATCAATGAATTTACTTTACCTTTATGGTATTAGGATAATTACCTTATAAACGTTCTTTCTACTCTGGCTCTATGTTTGCCGTCTTCGACAGTTTGAAATTCTGTACGTCCCGAATATGTAAACCTGCTACTTAAAGTGAGTGGAAAACGCCTTGGTCTCGTTTTAGGACTGTGAAGTCGGAAGAACGTATGATGTTCTACACACGCTTTCCATAAATTTTTTGAGCTACGATATGTCTGCATATTGAAACCTAATAATGTATCGTAGTTTTCCGACTGGAACAAAATCGCTGATGTACCATATAGAACATTTTCATTACAGCCGTGAAGTAATGCATGAAGTACCTGCTCTCTCCTTAATTGAATGAAAAACTGTTTCCGTTTAAATGATATTTTAACTATCTTTGACCATGAGAACACATTGATTTTTATTCCATTTTGAAATACTACTAAACCTATAGACGTTACACCTAATTGTATTTCTTTATTTGCTGAATCCTAAAATCGGGATAATAAATTATTCGGATATCGGGAAAGACTAAATTATAAAATAGATACATACCCTAGCTTTGTGTAATTCTACTCCATACATGTCCAGCCTTTTTGCATGGTCTAAAAAATTAAATTCTGCATCTGCTGGTAATTGACCCCTAAAAAAATATATAATTACAGTACATTCAACATTCGCATTTTGTGAAATATTATTATATATAAAAATTAAAAGCAACACTTTAAGTCACTTACTTGTGAAGTTTATGCAATTCAGATATTTTCTTTTCCATCTCCTCAGTTTGACCTGGAATCAATTGTAGTCTAGAAAGATATCCTGGGCCATGTTCTTCCGGATGATAGTCACCCAGCTCAGCTGTACTCACATAATAATAAAATATTACAAATACATTTTAAGATACAAGTAATCCGAACGTATTTCAATACTTACATTGAACAGTGTAACTTGCAATAAGGCAAGCTGTACTTGGTGGTAACTGAAGTTTTCCTTGAAGAATATCTCTTCTTATTTGTAAATAAAATTGATATCTGGTATATTCCTCTTGCAATTTACTAGGGTCAGATACATAAAATTTCACTCTAAAGTAGAACTGTCCACCTAAAAACAGGGTGCTCCGTGTGAGATTATCTTGCATTCCTTTGAGTTTAGTAATGTGAACAGGAACATAAACAGGATCTTTACCCTTACTTCTTATCTGCTTTTTCACTGGTTTGCTAGGGTCTAACCATCTCTAAAACATTATTAGAATACCAATAATATTCTATACAATAAATGTTTTACAAATAGATTCTAACTGATTGAGTATAAAAATTTACCATTACATCTGGTGAATATGTACATGATGTAGATCCATTTTCAGCATATTGCAGACCAAAATAATCTTTTTCAACCAACTCTAAATGTTGGAATACCAGATCCAATAATGTTTGGCCCTTGGCTCTTTTCTAAAACATTGTTAAATGCTTATTATTGAACATGTATTGTTCTGAACGATTATTGTATAAACTTACGTCTAGTTCAAATGTATGTTGTGTATCATCAAGGAAAACGACTGTGGCTGACAGAGACTTTAATCTACGATTCCTTGCCAACTCTGCTCCACGAACGTGGTAGCTCCCACTGGAGCCACTCAACGCTCTACGTGATACACTTTCGATCATTTCAAATATACGAAGGCGTGTCAACCACCTTCCCGACACCACCTCTCTGCTATGCTGACCACCTGAACAGAGAATTATATGAAAGAAGTGAAATGTTAGAAAGCATATTTAGGTAGATTAAGAAATGATAATTTTTTTCAACCGTTATGGCATATTATAAGAAGAGACTTTTAAAACACTAATTTCATTAATGTAACTGTACAAGGTTAGGTCAACAACCATGTTGTCAATTCTGATAAATGATCATATTGGATAAACCAGTCTCATGCAATCTCACAGACTGATCAACCATAAAACACTATTGAGAGCAATTACATTCAGAGGATGTCATGGAAAATAAATTCATTGGATTTGGTGTAATCTAATGTCAGTTACATAAGCAAATTCATGTCTACTACGTGCCAGAATAATGTGGAACGGGGCATTCTGAAAATAGTTTGCATAAAAGAAGCAAAAGGGGCTCATTAAATGCCAATACGTTCAAATGCTCTGTATCATCCAATTTTATAAATTATTCATAATCAACACTAGATTTCATTGCAACACCAATTACGCTGCAAAACTGTTCGTTAATTATTATTAATTTAAAATTAAAAAGTGTTGAAATGGCACGTGGTGTTGAAAAAAGACCGGCACAAGTCTTTTGTCACGAAAATGAATACATATATCGAATTGTTCTCGCATCAGATCGAAGAAAATCGTGATTGAAAAAGGGTATTCGAAACATATTTAAAGTAAAAAAATGTTTCTGCGAAAGGTATCGGAATCCACGGTGATAAATAACTTTGGTATTAATCGGTACATAGGTACATATTCCTTTTATGTCACACCAAATAGTCATTTGTATGCATCTAGACCTAGACGATCGTGTTTCAGAATTAAATTAAATGAGCACTGTAAAATCTGCACTTACATTCATGATCCGTTGCACGACGTCCGATACAGTTTTCACAGGTGTTCTTACACGCTTGACAGACCCCGAAAAACCGCCAGCGAACGTCAATACTTTATCAGAATTATCAGATCCGATAAAACATTAAGAAAAAAACGATCCCGTCTCTTTCAATAAATCTCTTTTTTCTTAGCGCCTTTTTCATTATTTTCTATAACGACATGTTAGCGTGTTAATGTTTGTAAAATGCCGTTCTAATCAAGGTAGACTACATCGGAACCAGTTAGTCGTTATTTATTTGATCGCGGTTTGCGGTAAAACGCATTCAATAATGTATAAAACTGCACTTCTTTCACTCACTCATTGTCAGTAACATATAAGGTAACACTAATAAATCGGCACGAGCGAGCAATGATGTCAATGAATTACGGTCATGGTTCTTTTAGAACTTCACAATGATCATTATATATAGACGTATACATAGTTGATAAACTGTAAAAATATATACAATCGTATGAAAATAATTATTTTCTACGATGTTACTCCGTAAAGATCAAAGTATTATTTACAATAAAATTGTTTGACGCCCTGATAGGAAACTCTACTATGTGTACATATGTACATACGTGTACATGTTATATTTTACATATGTGTGGGTGTATTAATATTTAGCATAGAATAAGCAAAGTAAAGATGTTATACTCGACAACATTTCTTCAATCTATATTTTATAATAATAACAGAGAGGAAATGAGAGTGCTCACGGCCCGGTTTCGGCGTCCCCAATTCGATGGTGCTGCCGAAGCTAAATTCAGCTAAATTCTACAGGGATCTGACCTTTGATAGTCAAAGGATCTGACACGTTCAGTTCCAGATTTAGCATTTACAGGAATCAACTGACATGTACTTACAAGAGCACGAAAGAACCATTTGAATGCTAGCAAATGCGTAATAAAGACCAGCAAATATTACAAGATGTTTGCACGCGTATTTACATTCATATCACTAAATAGATACATACATCTTCTATACAAAACTTACAATCAAATTTCGATTTTCTATACAATGACAAGAACTCAGTTATAATTCTAATTCATTAATTTCATTCATAATCTAATGATATTTTAAAAACGTAAATTGTAATGTTTTTAGAATAGTTCAACGAACCATCACTTAGGGCGCTGCTTCGTAATCCGTAAATTTTTCCCGCCACAATGTCTGCATTTTGTGCATCTAATATTGTGGTTCGGTTCTAAATCCCGCCATCTCCGCAGCAAGTCATACACAGGTAACAAATTCTTATTGTATTACTTGCTTCTATAAGCCGCACTAAGAAAATATAACAATACCTTGGCACTCTTCATCGTTTAAATGTTTACTTCGTTTACGGCATGAAAGATTTATTCCAAATTTAACGTTCAGGCGATGCTCGGTCCACAACAAAGAGCCCACGTGACCTTTCAAAGTAACGTAGAACGACGTTAAAGACCGGGATGATATGAGGGGATCTTTAACGTTATATGATATTATTATAAGAAGTAGATACATAATTGAGCAAACGAGTAGAGACAAATCTTGTCAGTAGACACAGTATTAATTGGTTCGGTTAATTGTAGTGCGTATCTTAGAAATCTTTCATTCGAACTTGATGTAAGATCTACGCTCCTGCCGAATAGAAAATGGACCAATGAAATAACTGTCACGTGACTGTCGGTTGTAAGTCGAGTTGATTTCACATAACCGCGTGTTTGTGCTACGCCGAACGAAGTTGAAAACAAGAAGCTATGGCAAACGTATCCGTGGATAAAGAAACATTTTTTCGGCGTATGAAGCGGCTTTACACCGCATGGAAGGTAAGATATTTGAGACCGTTCGTGTCGTCTTTAAAATAGTATGTGATCCATCGATAAACGGGCACGAAACGATTTTGTTAAGCAGGATGGAGAAGTTGGTTCAGATGACAGTTTTAGTAAAATGGATTGTCTCGTCTCTGCCGTGGGTACAGACGAGGATATCGTGTACAGCAAATCAACAGCGTTGCAAGTAAGCGAAACTTTTCCGAATTCTTACGTATCACTCTTTTGTATCTCGTATTTATTAGAAAACAAATAGTTAACCTAATTTTTGTAACTCCAAGATGGTGATTTTTCGTAACATTTGTAAGCTTTCAGCTCTATTACATGTATTCTTGGTTTATTACTATAAAAGAAATTAGAATTTTGTACCTAAGCATTCGATCAAACTGTTATTGTGTAATTAAAGTTTTATGATCTATCCTTATATTCATGTTACTTTTATATCTCCATTAGCTAAAATGAGTTCTTGTATTGTGTTTCAGACATGGCTCCTGAGTTATGAACTTACAGATACTATAATGATTTTAGCAACAGAGTCTATCTGCTTCTTGGCTAGTAAGAAGAAGATTGAATTTCTGAGGAAACTTGAGAACCAGAAATCAGATGAAACTGGTGTGCCTGCGGTGAAATTACTTGTTAGAGACAGAGTATGTAACCTTCCATTTGTATGCATAATTCCTTGACCATTTTACATATTTTTTAATATTTGTCAATTTCCTTTTTCCACAAAAGAATGATGAAGATAAAGCCAATTTCGGCAAACTTATTGAAATCATAAAGCAGAGTAAAAAGGGTAAAACATTAGGCGTTTTCTCAAAAGAAAATTACCCAGGTGCTTTTATGGATGCATGGCGGGCTACTTTGAAGACAGAATCTTTTGATACGGTGTGATATTATTGTCTTACAATTCTCTGTACAACGATAAACTGCGAACATACAATCATTTTGTAATAACGATAATCACTAGGTCGATGTCAGTGCTGCTGCAGCATATGTTATGTGTCCAAAAGAGGATACCGAGATTCATACCATAAAGAAAGCATGTTTAGTATCTGTGGATGTCTTTACAAAGTATCTAAAAGATCAGATCATGGAAATCATCGATTCCGACAAGGTATTTGACTTATTCATTCAGAAATGTACTTGTAAAAAAAAAAGATACACGTGCACTTGGTATTTTATTCTAATGTTGGACCATTTTCTATTTTAGAAAGTGAAACATTCAAAATTAGCAGAGGGTGTAGATGCGGCTATAACAAATAAAAAGTATGTAACTGGTGTCGATGTTACCCAAGTAGATATGTGTTATCCGGCCATAATACAAAGTGGTGGGAACTATTCTCTAAAGTTCAGTGTCGTTAGCGACAAAAATACGTTGCACTTCGGTGTCATTGTCTGTTCTCTCGGAGCACGTTACAAGTCTTACTGTTCCAATATTGTTCGAACATTATTGGTAAATCCCACTA